TAAAGATCTCACATGCAGGAATTCTTTCTCCAGAATAGTTTAATCGGTTTGGATACTGTCTGTCAACACTTGATTATTTTCCCTCTATTTTGGACACACAAATCCATTCATTCAGACTCTTCTTCTCCCCATATCTCATATATTGTGATATTATTGTGTGGATCTGCAGGCATCTCTGAGTTTTGCAGCTTGATGTTACCACCATTTGCCATGGTGACTTTGAGATTCCGCACCTTGGACACAAACTTCACAAGGTCCTTCTCAAGTTCGGTTAAGGTATGGAATGCATAGTCTTTGCTGGGGGAAGTATTTTGATGTTTCTTTAGTGGAGAGCGAAACTGGCAGCCTCGGAGGCCAGTAGAAGTCTGCTCCTGTCAAGAAAGATATCTGGGGTGAATAATTCCATTGATTTTCTCGGCTTTGACAGTTGGGCTCATCTAAGAGAACAGGTCCCTTGTACTGCTCTAGTCTAGGCTATGGCAAATTGGCCACCTCTGGCCCACAACCTGTTTTTATAAAGTTTTATTGAAACACAGCTGTGCTCATTCTTTTGCATATTACTCATGACTAAATTGAGTAGTTACACAGAGACTATAAGACCCCCAAAACTGAAATGCTTTACCTCCTGGCCCCTCTCTCCTGGCTCCAGCTTTAGACAGTCTGGATAGAGTATCATGAAGTGCTGGGAGTGTCCAGGAGAGAACACGCCATATTTCTCTGCCACTCTCCTTCAACTGGAGAGCTGTTGGGGACCAGAGCTTACTACTTGACACATTTATAACTTTAGAACAGGCTTCTATTTAATTTACTTGGGATAATAACATTTCCACCAAGTCCCAAAATTTGTAATAAATCGAACATGGCAAAATTGTAAAAATCAGGAGAAAGTTAAGTCTGGCTTTGTGAATAATTTTTTTACCTGAAAAATACTGTAATTTCCTGAATCTATCCTTAATTTGAAAAAATTCACAGGAAAAATCATGAGCCATTAAACAGGTTATCAACTGTTCTGTCCCAATCTCTGTGGCTCTGGGGACCACTGTCTTCACTAAGAATGTCAGGAAGCAAATTTGCCAAATTTCCCAGGATCCAAGGTAGTTCCTCCCCATTCAAGTTCTAGATAGCTCAGCCGTCCTGACCCTACGGACTACAAGACCTGATTCTGTCCGCTGTTTCTGAGACGGAATCTGTGGAGCTGTTCTTACCTTATTCTTCTCACTATCTCCTTGAAACTTCAGTATTACATACAGCAAAACAACAAAAATAAGCCAGAGCCATTTGCTCCCAAGCCAGCCTTGGGTGTGCTCTGGTAGATTCTGTCTAATTCGGAAGTGCCCTCCGCAAGGCACCTTCCCCTGGGGTTCTTTGGCTTTGTCTCTCAGAGAAGAGAACATAAAGGCGTAGCCGCAGGAGAGGCACAGAGGCAAGAACAGGAACCATCTCAGCGTCCGCATGGTGAGCAGAGGTGATGGAGGAAGCTGCTCATGGTGGGTCTGTCTGCCCTGGCAACTGGGAGACTGGGGACCTAGTGCTGGCCGCTGGTGATGTCACAGAGGGCCTGAGCCAGGGCAGCCTTGGCCATTGTGATGCCTTGAGGCTGGGGATAAGGAGGCTCACAGTGGTAGCTGGAGAAGGACTTCAAGAAACTGGGGGGAGGGGAGGATTTCCAGTGAGAGGGTATGATGGGAAGTCACCTCCTTGCCAGAACATTCTTTCTGACTCTGGTGTTCAATGGGAGGGGCCATCATCATCTTGCTTTCATTTATTTGATTCTGACACTGTGGTGAACAGAGACACTGTGTTCCCATGGAGCCTGGAGTCCAGCGGGAAAGATGTTTGTCCACAGGCCGCACAAGGGGCCCCCGATGCATTTCATCTGTGGCCATTGTTCCAGAAATAAGATTGGCCAGCATTTAAGTGGTAGAAGCAGCTTCACTTAAAAACCCCAAGTTTCGGGCTTCCTTTGAATATGGATGCTCTGGCCTCACAGGGCCTTGTTCTCATGGGCCCACTCTGCTCTGGCAGGGCAGGAACTGACCCTGCTGGTGTTCTCCCCTCAGTCCTCACCAGTCCCTGTTGCTTCATACGACTGACTGACCTGTCCAGGGGAATTCAGAGTATGACTTGGTAAAATTTTGACAAGAACAGAGAACTGTTAAGAGAACAGAAGGGGGAACTTAATGCAATTACTCAGGAAGACTTTCTCGAAGATGTGGGTAGAGCTCAAGAGACGCTGCTGAGGAGCCGGCTGGGTACATGGGGAGGGGCTGACATTTGGCCTGTGTGAAGGCCCCAGGGTAAGGACACAGCCTGGAATAAACCAAACCTCCCTGACCAGTGTTTGAAACCACAAGTTTTAAAAAATGAATGAACAAGAAGGCTGGTCACGGGGGCACAGGCTTGTACTTGTTCCCCTGGTCACCTATGTCACAATCATGCTAAGGAAGGACCTAGTTCACAGGCTGACTCCCAAACAGTGACTTCCTACTGAATACCAAGTCATTGGAGGTCCACTGGGCACCCTCCTGTGCTGCTGACTGCGTTGCACACTGGGGAGAACACAGAGGTCCCAAAGCCTCACCTGTAAAACCCAAGGGGAAAACAGCAGTGTCACATGCTGCACCGATTCTCCACGTGCACCGCTGTCAGCTGAAGTGGTGGGGTCTCCTGCAGAGACTGTGTGTGCAGGAGGTGGAGAGGTGCAGGTCCCAGGGTTGCAGGAAAACAGGCCTCATGCTGCAGGCAATGTCCAATCTGACCGCTGTGGCTTGTGAATGTTCATCTGAGAAGAAGCTGGCCCCAATGCTCCTAGCCTTGGGCCATGGAGTGTGCTGTGACCCGTCTGAAGGCTCAGCCTTGGCATGACACCATCCTACCCCACTGACCCCCGTCAGTGTCCTAAGGCTCCTGTGGGGAACAGCTGCAGCTGCTGAGTACTCCGGGGGTGCTGTGTCTGCACAGGGCCTGAACCGTGCCAAGTATGCCAACAAACACTGAGGCCTTGGTAGTGGTCAAGTGAGGCTGCCTGTGGGGCCAGTGGATTTCATTTACACCAACGACCCCTCACAACAGAGCTGCTCTGTTCCTGATTTTCATTACTTGCAAATTTTCATGGGAATTTGATGATAGGAATCCCCTAAACTCTTTTTTTCTACAATGTGTTCACAAGCTTGGTGCTTTTCCATAGCACAGGACCAAGAAAAAGCACGAAGCTCTGGGAAGGTCCCTCCAGGTCAAGAGGTGATGACAGGTTCGTGAGGCTGAGTGAGATTCGACTTTACATCTGGGAAGTAAAGGCTAACCTGAAGAACCCCTCGCCCCCAGCCCCTCACCACTGCATTGGCAAGGTGGCTTGGGCCCCAGCGGGTGGAGGAGCAGCCTCTGGTCCAGAAGCCAAAACCTGATGAGTCCTTGTCTGGGAAAGCTTCCAGCCTCTGCTGATTGTTCCTGTGGCAAGGACTCATCAGCGGCAGCGTGGTGAGTGACTTGGTCAGGAGGAACCATGTGCACTGAGCACTGCTGTCCAGGTGTGGTACCCACAGAGTGGGTGATGGTCACTGTGTCCCCTTCCAGGAGCTGAGACATCCACCCAGTGCTCCGCTGTTCAGGTGAGCCCGAGATCAACACCAGCTACTGGACTTCACCTTAGTTACTGCCTTGCTCACCTGCCTTGGTACAAGCTGGTGTCACACTGGACACTATGGAAGTGGCACAGAATGCAGACAGCCTGCCCGCCCTCACTCCCCTCACAAGAGGTGCAAAGGGAGCTGCCCTTGCTCTACACAGGCACACACTCTCAGGCCTCAGGGTAGTGACGCCTTTGCTAAACACCCAGGGCTGGAAAGGAATCCCCAAAATCCCTCCACACACACACACACACCTATGGACACCTCCTGGGCAAGTGGGGAAGGCAGGCCACGTAGCCCCCACACTGGCTGGAAGGCCACAGGCTGGAAGCTTTGAGATGCTCAAGGTTTGAGTAGAGGACACTGGGACTAGGTCACTGGGACTGGGAAAAACTGGACATAGTCAAAAGCTGGACACGATGCCAAATACAACGGATAGGTTAAGGCAAACTTAGGAAAATTAAAAAGGCCATCAAAATAAAAAATACCTCATGATGGCAAAAGCTGTTAATGAGTAGAATTTGACTAAAAGGACGATCAAGTTTTCTTTATAAGTTAAAATAGAGAAGAATAAATTGTGATAAAAAATAATTTAACCAAATATAATTTTTTTTTCTTTTGGTACCAGGGATTGAATTCAGGGGCACTTGACCACTAAGCCGCATCCCCAGCCCTATTTTATATTTTATTTAGAGACAGGATCTCATTGAGGTGCTTAGCACTTTACTGTTACTGAGACTGGCTATGAACTTGCGATCCTGTCTCAGCCTCCAGAGCTGCTGGGATTGTAGGTGTGCGCCAACACACTTGGCTAAAAGTAACTAATTTTTATGAGAATAATTAAACAAAACAAAACCCTGAAAGATGGTTTAACTGGGGTGTATATAATACTGATCGAGGAAAAAAAATGGCCAATTCATGTTTATTCCAGCAAAGTTCACAATAAAAATTCCCTTTCCCTTTAGTTGCTGGAAAATGATGTAATCCTGATTAAAATGCTTCTCTGGTAACAGTGTAAATATGCTCCTTGGGGCCAAGTCCTCCCATCACTGTGGGGCAGATAAGGGCACAGCTCGGGGCGGAGGCTCTGGGCCCCATTCCCAGCACTGCAGATACAGTAAAACAAAGAGAACCTTGGGGCCTTCCTGGTGTCGAGGACCCACAGACGGCACTGAGCTCAGGAACTCGGACTCTGCACTGACAGCCTCGTGGGAGTGGAGATATGCTGATGTGTGATATCGACACAGCACAGAAGGGTGGGATACACCTTCTCACCTTCTGCTGAGGGCGAGGACAGTGGAATTCCTGGGACCCCAATGCCTCACAAAAACACTAGGAGAAGGGAGAGCAGCAAGAAAGCACAGACCAGGGAAAGCAAAGGCAGGTGTGCTTTATTCTGCACCAAAGCTTTCAGAACTCAACTAATCTCTGCTAGGTCCAAAATGATGAGAGAAGACTCTCCTAATGCCAGACAGCAGGGCCCCGGCTTCTTCCAGGGCTGGAGTGAGGAATGGTTTCCTTCAAAGGCTCCTGCTGCCAGACTGTGTTTGAATTCACCTAAGGTGATTTCACTTGCTTACTTAATTGACTGTCAGCAGCAAAACAATAAAATTTTAGTCGAAATAAGTAGCCACACACAAGAGCCTTCCATTATTGCAAGCTTACAAAGTACAACCCACAACGGCCTGGCCGTGGAAAGGGCCACACCCGCTGCAGGCAGAGGCAGGTGTGAATGCGGGCTGGGGAGAGGCTGCCAGACACTCTGCAAGCCCCTGGCCCTCCCTAGGACCCTCACAGCAAGAGTGACCACAGTCTTGAAGGTTGGTGAGGACAACTTTATGACACCATCTAAACCGAATACACTAGAGACAACACAGTCCCCAGGACCACACAGAGGAGCCTAGGCTGGGGAAGAAGCCTGAGCTGGGCTTCAGAAGCAGTAGGACGTGTGGGTGACCCAGTGTGCCGACTCCTCCTTGGAGCGTTTAGCAGAGCTGTGAGTTGTGAAAAGGGACTTGTAGGTTTCGGATTCTTCGCTGTCGGCGATGGATCTCTTCACGGCCCCACAGGGAGGCTTCCCGGCTTTCCCATTAGTTGCTAGAAAAACGAAAAGCCAAAACCTTTCATACTGGGACTACAGGTCACTCCAACATGGCATTCCCACAAGGGCACAAGTCAGCTGCTTCTCCCTGGACACTTTCCTGCTGCTTTCTGGGAGGAATGCTGAAATATATACCCTTTATGTTTTGTGGTGATGGGGATCAAACCCAGGGCCTCAAGTGTTGGGGCAAGCACTCTACAAGGAAACACATCCCCGCTGCCACCTCCTAAAAACCACAGCTCCCAGCACATAAGATCCTGGTAACAGCACCCTGCTGTGCCTCATGCTCTGCTCCCGCCCATGAATGGCAAGGATGGACTGGTCTTCAGAAGGTGAATGCTTCATGGCGGGGAGGACACAGAAGTACTGGATGGAAACTGGAGTGGTCTGTCCCAGGCCAGGCTACTACCTCACATCAAAGCCAGGATGGGAAATGCTGACCACTGTGCACTTACACAACACAATTAAATTAGGCCTCCTTCTATCTGATCAGTCTGTGCTTTCCTTCTAGTAAAATAAATGCTATTCTCTGGAGTTGAAGACAGGAGCTCCAAGAGAAGCTGACTCTGGCCAACAAGCAGGTGGAGAGAAAAGACTCTTGAGTGCTGTGTGGATCCCATAAAGATGCCTACTACAGAGAGCAGACACCTCCCGTCAGTGCCCATGCTTTTGCACATGACAGTCTCCACGGTAGGTCTGAGTCCAGTTCTGGGCAGCACCATGTGCTCACTGAGCAGGAAAGCACAATTTCCTTTTCCGGGCCCTTTAATCTCGACAGGGCTCCCGGTCAGAGGTATGCTGACAATTCACAGTTTCCCTCAGAAGCTCAATGAACTACTGACAGACACAACTTGGGAAATGCTTCAGTTTTCTCCTGTGCCCAGTCCAATGAAGTGAACATGCCCTTGGAGTCCCTAGCTCTCCATGAGCTCAGGCTCATCTCAGCAGGACTCACCTGTACTTCTGGGTGCTGAGACGGCTTTCTTCTCTCTAGTATCAGGACCCAGTTCCTCAGGCTTGCCTGTCTTCACCCTTGATGGCCCTGGGCATTCTGTAAAATTTAAAAAACAGAAGAAGTAAGACCAAAGCAAACCAAAGCACAAACTTATTTGGGACATGGCCCTGCAGTTTTATTTTGCTAAAATATCCCCTCTTCTAGCATCTTACCTTCACTGACTTCTGGTTTGGAAACAGACTCTGCCGCCTTGGGCTTCTTTGTTTTCTGTAAGAAGAAAGAAGTTGCTGGAGGACCTTCCCAGGTTCAGTGCACTGCTGCAGTAGTGTGGGGCTCACTGTCACGGGCTGGTGCACAGTATAAGGCAGGTCCTCACTCCCGAGACCGACCACATAAACTCTAACCCTTAGGTCTCCACAGGCATCTGCAGTGGTGCACTGGAGCTTCACAGACACGTCTACCTGCACAGCCCTTGTTCAGTTTCATATTTACATTCCAAAAATTACATTCTCAAAAATTTTAAATGAAGATGACGGATTTCAGTTATAAGAGGCAATGTTAACAGTGACTACTGTATACAAAAGAGCAGTTAAGCTAGTAACACAAACTACAGGCAGCTCTGTGAGGTCTAGCCAGCAAAGCGGGTGCTAAATTCCTCACATTCCCTCATTTCCAAAGCTGTCAAGCTGCTATGGTATTTTTTCATCTGGCTTTAAGACCTAGAGGCTTATGCTAAACATTTTAGCAAATTATCCTAAACTCTGGATTACTGTTGTTAATTTTAGGCACTAGAAGTTTGTTACTCACTATAGTTACTTTGGTCATTAACAACAAAAAGAAATGAACAAATCACTCTAAAATTACACAGCTGTGTTCACTGTGATGCAACTGCAGAAATGATAAACACGACTATGTCCAATTTACTTTAAAATGTTATTTTCCCAAGTATCCAAAAGGTGGCGCTAAAGACACACCCAGCCTATTTATTTCAGAAGGCCTCTCTATCTAGCAAACACTGAAGAAAGACTTCTCAATGGCCCTGAACCTGTAACATACATGCAATATGACTTAGAAGATTGAACAGAACACAAACCCCTGCTCACTTCACACATGCAATGCATGTATGCCTATCTGTGAAGGCTGACAGTCCTTCAAAAACCAGAGACAACTGTACAGCTGAGTTATTTGAAAAGCAATAAGGAGGTATAGAATAAATATTGTGTCCTGTTTCCAGGTGCAAGTTTATTTGGGAAATATTTTGTATCCTGGTAGCAGTATCTAAGGATTCACAGGAGCTCCAGTGAGTATTTTGCAGAGAGGGGCATGTCAATTCCACCGGGCTTTGAGCAACTTGGCAGGAAGCCTGTGACAGAAACTCAAGTAAAACAATCAAAGACGATATGAAAATCTCTAGTAGCTTCCTTTAAAATAAAAATTTCCCTTAAAAAAAAAAAAAAACTGAACAAAGGCAGCAATGAAGAACAGGCAGATCCCTTTTGATAAGTGTTCTTTGTTGAACATGCCTCAGACTTTTCTTTCTTTTTGCTCTTATGATAATAAATCAGAGTAATTTAGACCACTAACTTAGAATTCTCTCTCTCTTTCTCTCTCTCTCTCACACACACACACACACACACACACTTGATTTTTAACCTTAACGCTGCACTTAAATGACTAAGCACTCTCTCAGTATTTCTCTGGAGTGCTACATTAATATTATAAAACAGCTCCAGACTGTTCTATTAGCATTTGATTATAAAGTTTGAGCACAATTCTTTGTCCTATAGAATCACTTAGCTGGTCCCTAAGAGTGATAAAATGATCAAAGAAGGAAGTGCCAGTGGATCTGGATCTTTATAAATTCCAGGTCCATGTTAAGAATAATAATGTGCCCAACTTTACCAGCTTTTTTGAGCTTAACAACCCTGAATTATGTCATTCCAGGATGAGAGGCTCCTGTCTTGTCTTCTGAGACCAAACAAACACAAAAAGCAAAAAATGAGTCTCTGAAAATTCTTTCCTAATCCCATTACTCTCACCTACTGATCGATGCAGGTGCACTTAAAGTTGGTTCTTGTCCCCATATGTCTTCAGGATACGGACACTGATTTTCTAATACTTCCAGCATCTTCTGCCTTAGTTCTCATCACATAAAGTTTGCTCCTATGTTTACCCTGAGCCTAACTTTTCCATAAAGAACAAAAAACTTACCACTTACAAAAGCCCTGCAATACACAACTGACATCTGTAAATAACAAATCATAAAGTGTACAGCTGGACTCAGTCGAGGGCACACACGCTGGATGATCTCTTGACTGACAAACTGCTGAGCTTGCTCATTATGGTCTATCATTAAGAAATACTCCTACTGCTTCTGGAATGTGGTTCCGAACCTGAGACTACGAAGCAAGGCCCCACCACTGCACATCCACCAGGACTGTCATCACCAGTGCTGTGTCCATAGGCTCTCTATGGAGAGTAGAAGCCCCACTCACCACAATTCCCCCAGGGAGGGCTCAGGAAGGTGTGGGAGATGGCTCAAGCTTCAGGAAGACTACTTAGCTCCTTGCTACTCCTTGGTCCTGGAGGACTACATCCAGTGGCCTGGGTGGGGGAGACATAACAGGCTCCCAGGGTCTCCCCCCCCCCCAAGCCTGTTGAAACTTGGCCTGCAGGGAACTCCTATTCCCATTCAAATCTGGGAGGCAGGGGACCTTCAGATTTTCTGGGTTGTCGATGACGTTCCTTTGTTTTTCAAGTTATAAGATTTTTAAATCAATTGACTGTGACAGCAATTGCAGTTACTGCCCTTCTCCAAGGGCTCATGAGGGCTACGCTCTCTTGTAAGCATTTATAGACATGATCGTCTGACCCTTCTAATCCTCCTGACAACCCCATGTCAGGTGCAGGTTTTGTCACCACCCCTACTTCACTGATGATTGAAGCTGAGCATGGACAAACAGAAGCACTGTGGTTGGGCCGCGACTGGACAGCTTCTAGAGCCCAAGCCCTCCAGGACTGTAAGAATCCCCTCTCTCACCACACACCCCTAGCAGCTGTGGAAAGGCAGCCAGAAGTTTGCAATGGACTCTGGCATGGAGAAGAAGGCAGGGCAGACCCTGAAGGACCAACTTCTACCCCGAGACTCTCAGAAAGGGAAGAAGGAAGCCAAGCCTGTTTCACTACCTTCTCCATCTTCGCTCGCAGTCTTCTCTCCTCCATCCTTTTCTTCAGCATTTCCACATCCTCCTTGGTGCCATTGAGCACAATGACATCATCCTCCTGGAAGGCAGCCCCGCACTGGGGAGGGAGAGAGAGAAGACAGAGTTGGTCACAGAAGGGAAGCCACTCTCAGCCCCAAGTGTCAGCTTCCAGCCTTTGCAAGGCTCCTATCATGACTCTGCCTGCATCTCAGCTTCACCAGATTTCGGGTCAAAGCCCTGGTCTAGGAGATCTGGTGCCCAAAAGAGTTCTGACTTAGTAGCCTGAGAGGGGTGCCCCAAAAAGGCCTACCCACAAGGCCTCTGAGATCTGGATTCTGGGAGGGCTACTGCCAATTCTTAACTGGTAAGGTGGCACATGGTGCCAGCCTTTCTATAAAATGTGGTTTACACTGAACATCTGCTTTCCTTCTGGGAGTCTAGAAGTTTGGTACATGCTAGGCAGAGGGTATGTAATCAGGCCACAGCAAAACCCCTGGGTTACTGGGCTCTCTAACAGGCTTCCCAGGGAGATATGTCACCCGAATGCTGCTGCATGGCACTGCTGGGGCAGTTGGCTCTGTGAGACCCTTCCAGGCAGGGAGAGAGCACAAGGACGCTTCACATGAACTCTTCCAGACTCCACCACCTGTCTCGTCCCTTAACATCCCACCATGTATCCTTACTGCATTACTGCACTAGGTCTTAGCTGAGTGACCACTATATGCTAACTCCTGTCAGTCATTCTAGAAAATTCCAAGTATAGGGATGCTCTTGGGGACCTCAGATATACACTGGCAGAACAGAACTGTGAGCAGAATCTAGACCACCTGACAGTGCCCTGTTGTGTCCACCCTCAGTTCTGTTGGTGAGTGAGCCACCTCCCAGGTCATGTGTGAGCATTCTGTGAGCACTGCTGCCTCCCCTGCCTCTGCACCTGCAAGGTCCCGTTACTCTGCCTCCGTCTGTTCCACACACTAATCAGATCTGAAGCCCTGGTCTGTCCATACTGTCTACACTGCTGTTCCCACTGCAGTGGCCCAGCACTGAACCTGCAGCCCGACACAGTTGGGACCTTGTACACCTGGGCTGGGGCAGGAAAAAGAAGAAATCATGAGAACAAAAGGGGAGACTCTGCCACCCACATTTGGAATTGAGGTTTCTGACTGATCTGCCCAGATAAGGTTACTCTTCCACCTCCCTCGGCCTCAGTTTCTCAGCTGTAAAGAGGAATGGTTTGGCCCAAAGGCAGTGCTCCCCAACTGGAGGAAGTTCTGCTCCTCAGGGATGCTCAGTACTGTCTGGAGATATTTCTGGAGGTCACATCTGGGGTGCAGGTGCTTTTGGCATCTTTTGGGTAAAGGGCTGGGACACTGGTAAACATCCTACTATACAAAGGACAGTCCTCACCACTGAGGCACCTAGTCCAAAATGCCACTCATGCTGAAGCTGAGAAACTCTGGGCTAGGGTCTAAATACCTAAATGCAACAGACATTTTTAAAAGAATAGGAATTTATAGGAAAACTTGTTCATCACTAGGGTAAGAAATGTCACCTAGAGCAAGAAAAAGGCAGAAGCTATAAAGGTTAACAACTTTTATTATATAAAAATGTCAATCTGGGGCTGGGGTTGTAGCTCAGTGGTAGAGCCGCTTGCCTAGCATTTGTTGAGGCCCTGGATTTGATCCTCAACACCACATAAAGTAAAGTAAATAAGATAAAGGTACTATATCCATCTACAACTACAAGAAATATTTTTTTATAAAATTACAACTTAAATGACAAAGTCACAATACACGAAATAAAATATAAGCCAAAAGCTAAGAGAAAATACTTGCAGCAGATACGACATTCAAAGGATACATTTACAGAACACAATCATGTTTACATAAGAACCCTTTATAAAATCCTCCTGGACAGCATCCTCTAAAAAAAGGCAACTTCACAGAAAGGCTCTGAACAGCCAAGCCATGGCCGCTGAGCACATTTTCTTGTGACCCTGCCACTCTCAACTCTGAAAACACAAACTAGAGGATGGTGGCAGTGTACCGCTGGGATGTTCACAGTTTCCTGTGTCCGTATCTGCACAAGCACACTCTGGAAATGATCTAGCATGTCACCAGATGAGCCGATAAGAAACTGGCATCTGAACAAGACAGAACACTTTTTAACCCTCAAAGAGACCTGCCATCTGACAGCACGGGCAACCCTGGAGGGCAGTGTGCCAAGAGAAACAAGCCAGACAAACAGAGGACCACTGCATGACCTCACTGACATGAGGGACCTAAAAGCTGAGGACACAGGAACATGGTAGAACAACGGCTACCAGGTATAGTGGCGGGTAGGGGTATGCTGGTAAAAGGACAAACGGGCAGTGATATAGGATGGCAGGTCTAGAGAGCTAGTGTAGCCTGAGGACCAGTTGTCAATGTCATGTTGTACACTGGAAGCTGCTCAGATGCCACAACTCTTATCCTCTCCACACAGATAATTAAGTAAGAAGCTGGAAATGTTCACTTGCTTGACCACTGTAATCATCTCACCACGGACATGTAGTCATCATCTCACACATACATCGAAACATCTTTTTGTACACTTTACACATGTATAATAAAAAAAATAAGCCTCATTTTGAAAGCACAGCTTTCTCATTATTAACTGAAGCAGTGACACCCTAGGCTGAGTCTTGCTATCCCCTGATGCTTGAGAAATGACTGGTACAGTGAGGGTTCTAGTCACTCATTACATTACAAAACTATTTGCTTTTACTGCAATGGGAAATGTACCATAAAAAAAGTTTATAGTTTTATTTTACTTATTTCGCCCTGTAAGAGAGCTGGACACCATGCTAAATAAGACATGGTCTCAACCCTCAATGGAAGCAGGGTGGGATCTCCTAAAAATACCGAGTGAAAGAGAAGTGAGCTCTCTCTTCCCACCCACCCTATCTAGAAACACGAACCGTTCTTCCCTATCTTACTCTGTAGCTTTCCAACTTGTAGAACATTCTGGGTCTTCAATGTTTTTCCATCTCTGTGATTTTTTTTTTTTTTACAGGGTAGGGGGGCAAAAATCATGTTTCACTTCTTAATTCCAGGTATTGTGACTAGGACACAGAATGCTGAGTAAGCTCTGGAGAAGAAGGCTTGGCCAGCATTTACATTTCCTATCAAACATGCCTTTCTAAAACAGATAAAAATATAATTTAACAAAGTTCACATAAAGTGCACAGGTCAATAGCATCTGGAGTTATTTACAGTTGTGCAACCATCACATAATCTAATTTTAGAATACTTTAACACATCCATCAGCATGCATGGTCTCCGCCCTACTTCAGTCATAGGCAGCCACTAATCCACTTTGTCTCTACGGATTTGTTTCTCCTGGACATTTCATATGAATGGATCACACAGTATATGAGTCTTTGTTCTGTGTGTGAACGGCTGCATTCATCAAGTACGATGTTTTCCAGGGTCTTCTATGTCGTAGCAAGTATCAGAACTACATTTCTTTATATTCCACCCACTAAATTTAACAGCTAGCAGACATCCGAGTTGCTCCCACTTTGGCTCTTATGAATAATACTACTGAGAACATTCACGTGCAAGTCTACATGTAAACATACATTTTCACTTCTGTTGGGAAACCCCTGGGAGTAGAATCACTGGGTCATATGTGGACTTCTTGCTCAATCCTGGAGGAAGTGTCTCTCCTCCAAACTGCCAAAGCTGCTGATCATTTTACATGCTCCTGAGCAAAGCACAGGGATTCCTTTTCCCCACATCCTTCCCAACATTGCTTACTGTCAATTATAACATCCTAAATGGTGTGAATAAATTTTTTGTTTGGTTTGGTTTTGGGGTGCTGGGGATTAACCACTGAGCTACATCCCCAGCCTTTTTTATTTTGGGACAAGGTCTCATCAAATTGGATAGGGCCTCACTAAATCACTGAGGCTGGCTTTGAACTTGTGGTCCTCCTGCCTCAGCCTTCTGAGCTGCTGGGATTAAAGGTGTGCACCACCATACCTGGCCTCGCTCATTGTTTTTTAATCTGCATTTCACCTAAAACCAGTGATGCTGTGCATCTTTTCATAAGCTTATTGGCCAGTTATATCTTCTTCAGAGAAATGTCTTATTTAAATCTTTTGCCAATTTCTTAATTGTGTCATTTGTTTCTTTAATGTTGAGTTGTTCTCTATATATTCTGGATGAGTTCTGTCTTAGTCCATTTGGACTAGTGTAACAAAATCATTTACACTGGGTAATTCATAAACACAGAAATTTCTTGCTCACAGTTCTAGAGGCTGGAAAGTCCAAGATCAGGCAAAAGCAGATTCGGCATCTACAGGTGAGGGCCCATTCCTCATGAATGGAGCCTCACATGCCTACAGGGGAAGCAGCTCTGTCAGGCCTCTTTTATAAGGGTCTTAACCCATGTAGGAGGGCTTCATCACCTCCCAAAATCTGACCTCTTAGTAGTACTCTTGCACTGGAGATTAGACTTCAGCATATGAACTGGGTGTATGGGGGGGTACAAGTGTTCAGGCCACAGCAGGTCCCTGATCAGATACAACATTTACAAATGCTCTTTCCCTTCCTGTGGGCTGATCTTTCACTTTCTGGTTGATGTTCTTTGAAGCACAAAAGTTTTAGATGTGGAATAGCCGAGGTTACCAATTTTCACTTTTACCACTATGCTTTTGGTCTTGTACTTAATAAATCATTGCCCAACCCAAGATCATGAAAATCTGCTCTTGTGTTTTCCCTAAGAGGTCAATCATTTAGCTCAGATGCTTAGATCTGTGATCCTCTTTGATTCCATCTTAATGCCTGACATAAGGGGGAGTCACATGTGGGCATCCAGTTACTCTTGCACCATTTACTGAAAAGATTACTCTTCCTTCCCTTGAGTTGTCTTGGCCCCTTAGTAGAAAATCAATTAACCATAAATGTGAAAGTTAATTTCTGGGCCAATTTTATTCCACTGATTTATCCATTGAATGGATAAGCCAACAAAATTTTTCCTGGTATTTCTAAAGAGCCATTTGATAATATTATAATCATAGATATTAAAAACATACCAAGTAAAGTCTATTAC